AGTGTGTGTGTGTGTGTGTGTGTGTGTGTGTGTGTGTGTGTGTGTGTGTGTGTGTGTGTGTGTGTGTGTGTGTGTGTTTGTGTTCGTGTGTGTGTGTGTGTGTGTGTGTGTGTGTGTGTGTGTGTGTGTGTGTGTGTGTGTGTTCCTGTCATACGCAGGAGCTGAGAAGGTTGTCAGCGCGGAGCTGGCCCAGCAGAGACCGCCTTGCGGTGTTCAGTGACGTCTTTGATGATGTATGTGAGGACTCGCCAGTATTTGGACGCATCCTGAGGGAAATTAAGGTTTTTCCATTTGCTCTGTACCCACTAACACATTTTTAGCATGTGCTGTCAGACGTATTAGAGCCAAGAGACAGGGAGTCCCGGGTGTATCAAGTGGAAGTAGAGCAACCATTGAAACCATTGGTCATGATGCGTGTGGGAGCAGGTCATCACAAGGCAACGGTTGCATCAGTGCTCATCCATTAGAAAACCATTTATTACACCATTTTTGTATTACTTTATTAAAGCATAATATACTTGCTACAGTAAGATACTATACTTATTATATACTATATATATATATATATATATATATATACTTAAATAACGTATTAATTGCATCTATCTTTTTTACAAAATACACATAGTTATAGTATATAATGTTATAAATGATGTTTTCTCTTTCTTCCAGACAGATTATGATTTGTATGTCAACCACTTGATGGCTTCCCACGGCATGGTAAATCACACTGCTCCTACTGTTTTCTAATAATTACTTAAGACATATCAGAAGAAGAAGAAGAAGACGCGTAAGGAAGAGTGGTGGCTTCATATTTAGTGGGATGGATTATCAAGCTCTTGCATTCCAAAGTCTAGAAATTGCTTTTAATGGTGTGTGAAAATGTCTCTTCCTATAAAAGTGCAAACTTTAGCCCTCATATCTGACTTTTGAATACAAAGTCCTTGTAATGTCACAAAACCGCACCTTTTGTTCAGTCACATTCTAAAGGGTCAAAGGTAACTTGTGTCACAGGGATCATCGTTCATTTTCATGGTCATTTTTCCATTAGGGACTGTCCTCAGGGCTGGGGTCCTTCTTTTAGAGGCAAGACTATAACCTCACAGTTGCACATGGTAACATGTTTATGTTGTTGTTCTGTTACAGTCACTGGAGACTTCCCTCAAAGCTCTTTCGAATGAAAAAGAAAGCCAAACAGATTTAGAATTTGCTATAAAAGAGGTTTGCAGGCTGGAGCAGGAGGCCAGAAAAGCTCTAGAGGAAAATAAACGGTAATGCAACCATCTGTCTACCAATAAAAGGTGTATACAATTATGTCTTAGTATTATTTAAGTGTGTTTGTTCTTTCTTAACTTCAGAATCCGAAATAAATCACAGAATGTTCCAGCTACCGCAGAGGACAGTGACACGCAGAGTAAGTCTCAAGACTACATAGATCTAATCATTAGTGAACCACCTCTAAGCATTTGCTGTATATCACCCTGCAGGCAGCAGCACATGCTAACTTCTAAATGTCCTGTGTCTCTGATGTGGACAGACTGAACAAACAGACATAAAGAGAGTGTTGTAGTTTGAGTGAGTCAGCTGTGACAGGGCCTGCAGGGGTGTGTATTTACAGTACGTACAGTATGTATTAGTGTGTGAGGCTCCTCTGTTTGGACAGATACGTGTCTGTCAGGGCTGCAGGACAACACATCCAAGAGGCTTCAGGTTCTGAGCACATGGAGGGAGATCCAACACCTGGAGGAGGAGGTGAAGAGGAAACCGGTGTCCTCTGTTACAATCGCAGACACTGAAAAACACGTCAAAGAGCAAAGGGTACTGAGAGATAAACTGCTGTTCACACTCATGTATTCGCCCTGTTCCTCAGAAGTAAACATTTTGGCTGATATGTCACATTAAACATCAACCTTTATTTATTTATTTTTTATGTTTTCCTGTTTTTTTTCCTCAGAAAGAGATATTGAGACTAATAGCCTCCAATGACCGTCTAAAGATCACCAACAAGGCAAGGGAGTTAGCTTTTATTTCCTGTGTCTAAGTGCATGTTCTGCTATGCGATAGTGGGTCATGTTTTTGTCTCCTCTGAAGGATCTGGAAAACAACATCAACATGGTACTGAGCAGAGAGAAAGCAAGCAAGGCCATGAGACGGTACATGTTATATTGTATATTCGTGTATGTATGTCAGACTTGTGACCATTTTTTACCTGATGCTTATTTTTGTATTTTCTACCAATAGGATGTTGTGGGACGAAATACACAGTGATCTCAACACAGAGGATAGCTTCATCAGCAAGTAAACCGGGGGATCATTTCGTGAGATGGACATACAAAGTGCAATAAATTAAGGAAACAAATTCTACCAGCAAGCTACTTTATCTTTCTTTGTTTTTAGCCCTTTAGTTTTTTCTACAGCAATAACACTGTTGATGAAAGCCTACTGTACAACTGCCACTGCCATTAGCTGCTTTATATACTGTAAGCTGAATCAATATATTGCATAACATTTTAGACAATCATGTGTTTTGTGTATAATAAATCTTAATTTACATATTGAATAGTTTTGTAGTCATTATTTTTCTACTAGCTCTGTTAAACTAAGGATGAAAGTACTATATCTGCTTCTGAAATGTGTTGATGTAGAAGTATAAAGTACAGTAGCATACATAAATATACTCAAGGACAACTCGTACAACAGCCTCAAAACTATACTTTAAACAGCTTTGAGCAATTGTTTTTAGTGAGAGAAGTCAGGTTTCGTTGTTCAGCCGTCACTTTATGAACAGCAGTGAAATTGACACTTCACATATGGTGTTCTTGTGGGCCAGGGCAGTCCAATCAGTGCGTTGTTAATATGAACAACTTCATCCTTGGGGTAGAAATCAAATTAGTTGAACTGTATGTACAGCCTGGAGCTACTTGAATGCCAATTAATAAAAAGAGAGCTGCTTTTAAAGCAGAATAAAAGGTCTGGATATCGTCTCATAAATCGCTTTATTCTGTATTGAGCCGCACATGAACATGATACCACAGAGGATTAGGAGGGTAATAAGTCCTTCTCTCATTTCTGGCTACAAGAAACGAGTAAGTATTCATTTGTACAGAGTGAATGAGGCATTGGAAGAGAAAACACGAAACCCTGTAACATAATTCACAACTGGTAACGATAAAACAGACCTCTGACGTCGGCAATAGAGAAATATAGATAGTTCAATTATTGAAGTACTGTACTTTAATATAATGTTGACATGGTATTACTTTTCTGCTTTTGACTTTTTATTCAAGTACATTTATCTAACTTTAGTTCATGATACATTTCTAGAACACCAATCTACAGGGAAGCATATCAATCTAAAAGTGGCTTCATTGACAACATAATAATGGCCTTACATGTATTTGAGAGTGATTAACACAATAATATGATATTCAGTGTAACATTCTAAAAGGAGGCATTTTGCAATTAGTAAATACTATTTTTTTTAAAGTGAATACATTTTGGGGCTGGTATTTTAACATATAATAGTGCACTGTTTTATATTTTTTGGTTTACAGAGAAAACTGTACAAAATCCAGTTGAAAGGTCAAGAAGCCACGGGATTAAATAACAACCTTACTCGCAACTTCAACTAGCCTACTTAAATTCAAAATAAGAACTTTCTTTTCAGATTATAGTGATTCTATTTTTCCTTTTCTAAAAGTTATGAGCTCTGCTCCCTGATTGTTGGATATTGACACTGAAAGGTCATAACTATTTTCCGAGCATGAAGGGAATGCTACTCTTCAAACACCAGAGGGCAGCAGAGACAAATGCATTTCAAATCAATGTTCGGATTGTCTGTCGACTTATTCAGTGAAGTGTCAATCAATCAATCAATCAATGTTTATTTATATAGCCCAATATCACAAATGTTACATTTGTCTCAGTGGACTTCACAGTTTGTACAGAATATCAGTATGACAATACGACACCCTCTGTCCTTAGACCCTCACATCGTACAAGGAAAAACTTCCAGAGAAAACCCACAGTTTAAAGGGAAAAATGGGAGAAACCTCAGGGAGAGCAACAGAGGAGGGATCCCTCTCCCAGGACGGACAGACGTGCAATAGATGCCGTGTGTAAATTGAAAAGATAATACATTTGCAACATAGGTAGTCCAAATGGGGCGCCGCCAACGAGGCACCAGTTGTGCAACCTCCTCTAAGTAGCACTGCCCCATTTTTTTGCCGGCCCGGGCCGCATCCCGTCGTCCAGCTTGCCGACTTCGACCACCCCTACTCAGGAAGTCTCGACCTTGACCCAGGATACGGGGCTGGTAACGAATCATTGAAAAGCTTATGACGATGATCATGATGTTTGGGTAACAGTTCAAGAACTAGGACAACGGACGGCGAGCCTCAGGACCTAGGAAACCCATCAGGACCCTAGGGACAGGACTCAGGGACCTTAAGGTATAGTGACTACGGCAAGACCTAAACTCGGTACCCACGAGCTCAGCCACCGCTGGACCGTGACACAAGGACGACTGCAGAGTAGTATGATGAGGGACTAAAACCCCTGAGGGTGTCCGCAACACTAACTGTTACGGAGCCCTAAGTGAAGAACTAATTATCTGT